CTCCCTCTTCAAAAATCCTAAATGGCAACCCCATACTTGTGACATATCGTTGGAAAGCTACTGAAAAATGCTTTTCCAGCGGTACCAATGAAGTTAATATTCATTAAGACAATTAAACAAAAATTTTTAATTAACAAAAAAAACTAAATGTTGACATTGAGGGATTTATGTCAAATTGGCCAAGGACTTCAACCTGAGCTGCTTCATTGCATAATCTTGGTTGCTTTCTTTTTTTATTGATAACAGATCCCGTTTCTTCCAATTTAGCGACCACATCTTGAACATAGGCATGGTTTAATTTTTATTTTTTTTTGTTAATTTAATATTAAAAACAAAAGAAAAAGCTTTCAAATAAGAAAAATCACATAGAGCATAAGGCGAGCAACTCACGTACTGAAGAATACTTTGGCGATTTACGTTTAATTTTAAATGAATAGGTAATTCTATTTAAACAAAATAATATTTAAATATAAAAAATAGAATTACCTATTGTGAAAGATCAAAATTGAATTTTATGAATTGGATAGAATCTATTTCTTTGAATTTTTCAGGTACAAATTGAACGGTAGCAAGAGAGTGGGTATGACTCTTGGAGACTCTCACACTACACCTCTTTCCATAAAGGATTTCCCTCCTTTCGTACTAAAAAATGTCTTACTCCTGATCTACCTTTGCTTATACACGGGAGCAGTTTCAGCAAAGTGTTCTCTATGAACTCAACCTACAAACCCTTTCCCAGGCCTAGGTTCAAATATTCATCCACAAGAAAAATTTTCCAAATGAAAACTCGCCTTCAGATGAGAAAAAATCGTATTATAAAGTTTCGGCCCTTAAAAAACTCTGTTTACCTAGTATACAGGGTGATTCCTATAGTACCTGCCACCGTTTGGGAGCGTGTAGGTGGTGCGTAGGGGAGTATTTTGATATAGGACACTTGGGGTCGGAAATCTAAAATAAGGGTGCCAGAGCCAAATTTACCTTCTGGAATTTCGCGCCTGTAGGTAGGCAACCCAACCGGCCGGCGGTGCACACGGAGCGATCTCAGGCGGCGATGTGTGGCTGACACTTGATCAGAATTTTGTTTAAACCCACGAAATCCCGTCTGCAACGACGCGTATCAAGTGAATAAACACTATGGCAATAGTATAATAATAGTTGGCTAGATGTAGGAAGTGCATTGAGAACAACGGTGGCCACGTTGAACACTTGTAAACGTTATTGCTTTTGACTGTCGTTTTCCCTCCTTCCCTCCCATGTCGCTTCCTCGCGCTAACTCGCTCTGCATCGCTCCGCGCGAAACGTCGGTCGGTTGGGTTGCCTACATACAGGCGTGAAATTCCAGAAGATAAATTTGGTTCTGGCGCCCTTATTTTAGATTTCCGACCCCAAGTGTCCTATATCAAAATACTCCCCTAGGCACCCCCTATACGCTCCCAAACGGTGGCAGGTACTATAGGAATCACCCTGTATAAGCAATGGCAATGAAATGCTCCGTACGAAATTTTCACCTGCACGGAAATTCATCTCAGGTAAATTTGGCCCCTAAGCTTCTCTTCTGGAATATTCGCCTCACCAAGAGAAATTGAATTCACGGTAAAGTTGCCCACGCCGAATTATAAAACTAATTTTGAAAGAAACATTCTCCGTGAATAGAATTTGCTCTCGTAATATTCGTCCCTAGGTTCAGCCAGGAATAATAAATAAATAAATAGTCTAAAAAAATAGCGTAGTACGAATTTTTTATAACAAAATATAGCGGGAAGAATTCTAGTCTCGGAGGAGTTACTTGATGGCGAATGTTTCTTAGATGAATCTTCGCTAAGTTACCGAGTTACCGAGACGCAAAAATTCTCATGAGCAAATTTATCGGGCCCAGGTTTCTTCTCGCAGATGAGGTCCGAAGTTACCCAGGCTAATTTACGTGAGTGCGATTTTTTTTGCGTAATATTCCAGGAGCAGGCGAATTTTCTGTTGGAAAAATATTGCAGGGCAACGTCTAGCGAATGTTATAAATTATACGCTCTGCGTTGTAAGACCCATTACAGAATTTGCGTTGCAATTACCAACACCTTTTTTTCCTGTTTTCCACAGACGTGCACACCCTTTGAATTTCCGCAAGAGAACCTGTCGAAATTTAAATAGGGCGGGTTTTCTTTCAGGCTTCTATTCGGAAGCAAATATTGGAAATGAATATTCTGGAAGCGATTTTGGGAGATACAGTATCGAAATTAAATTAAGGCAAATTTCCTGGAAACTAATATTCCGATGGCGTATATTCCAAACGGGAAAACCACAGGGGTGAATTTACCACATTTGGGGCCAGTTTTACGACGATAGCTATTCAACGTCAATCGACAGAAATAAATATGAAAGTTTCGTGCACATTTTTTTTTAATTTTGTCGGTTGACATTTCTTTATTTAGTCAATTTCTGAGATGAAGTTGTGCAATAATCGGCTCGTGGATTTTTAGAACCCGTTGTAGTTAATATGGTAATATTTTTTGTATCGGGAACTGAAAGGTTTAATTCAGTAGATAGATTTGCCTTTGGAACAAGTTCCTGGTGAGTTTTCTTTTCCTTATCGACGAAAATTCCGATGATGAATCTTTTGGTGGAAAATTTTGTGGGGGCCCTTGTTTCGTGCTTCAGGGGCCATTTTCATGGGCGAGAGTTTTTTTACGAATGAATATTCCGACCGCCAATATTTAGGACGCAAATGTTCCAGGGCCGAATTTACGTGGAAAATGAAACGTGGGGGTGAATTTTCAAAGACAATTTTTCGAGGCGAGTTTTCTACAGGTGGCGAATTGAACTCGACCCGGTTTTTTTGTCGGCAAATGTTTCAAATGGTCAAGTCAAGAAAACTTGACGGATTAAATTAAAAACGAAGGTGAATCTTTTGAGGGCTAATTTTTGACCACGGTTGGTTTCAAACGCAAATAATTGTAGTGGGAATATTCTGTAGCAGGATATTCTAGGGGTGAATCATCCTGTGGTAGCAAGGTCTACTTGAACCCACAATTTGACAGAACTAATTCCGATATACATGAAACAATTAGAAAAATCCCTAAAAGAAAGAAAAGCTTTTTTAGATATAATACCCCGCACACAGACGGTTAATCATTAAAAATCTTAAATCCAAATTATCTGGACGTACAAGGTTTGCGGCATTCGGGCACTTTACTCACACAAAAGCACTCGCTATCAGCTTAAGGAAACTTCACTTTTTCTGTATTAAACTGAACTCAATGACTCGAACCGGCTTTTTTCTAAATACAGGCCAACCGTTTTTAAAAAATTTCCACAAACTTGTACTACTGCAATTGACGATAACTTAAATCCTTTATTAAGATTGCTTAACTTTTTCTGCGGCACTTAAACTTGGCAGAATAAAATAAGATAAGTACAGGTTCTTTTTAGCAGAGCGGAGTGCTTCTAAAATGTGAATACACGGACGGAACTTGTATCGTTAATAACAATAGGCAATAGCTAATAGAAACAAAGGTTTATTGTGCGTTGCTAACCAAAGAAACCATACCTTTGTTTCTAAGGCATTAGATCATGATAATTATTGTATAAACCCACCATAGATATCCCAGAACGAATGTTCAGGGTCCCAGTTTTCCTGGGCGACTATTTAGGAAGCAAATGTTCCAGAAGCGAATTTACTTTCTAGGGCATGAGTATTCCAGGGACGAATTTTCGAAGACGAATTTTCCGGTGTTAAACAGTCATAGCTTTGCTGAGGTATGGAAAGCGTATATTTTCATTAGATTTTTTTATAGTTAATTGCTAGAAAAAGGAAGGATTACTGTCGGTTTATAATTTGAAACTTTCACTTTGTAGTCTTTTTGTCCTTTGTCGCATGTTCGAGGACCAAGTTTAAAGACGATTTTGCCGAGAAGAACTTCCCAGTGGACGCTGAAAATACGGATTATTAAAAGTAGCTATACTATCCTTAAGCATTTTCTTTGTCGCACTTTTTCTTAAAGGAACTTCTTTGTAAGTCGAGCATTTCAAACGTATAGTGTTTTTGGAGCAGGTTTTTGAGTATTCCAGTGGGGGAGTTGGGGTGCGAAAATTTTGAAGGCGAATCTGCTTGAAAGAGAGTTTTCTTGTGACGAATTTACCGTGGCGAATGATGCCATAAATGGGACGGGAGCAGACCAAAATTCCGGGGGTGAATCTTTCCGAGCCGATTTTTTTTTGGAACTAGTTGTTCCGGGAGCGAATCTTCAGGTGGCGCATAATTACAGTGCGAATAATCCGGAGTGGGATAAGCATTCCGGGGACTGAATCGTCCTAGGGCCAACTTTATGGAGGCGGTTCGGCAGGTGGCGAATTTTTGAGCGCCGATACAAATATCTTTATATGCAAATCTATTGCCTTTGATGTAAAAATGAAGCAGCATTATTCGCAAGGCTGTTAATAATAAAGGAACAGTTGTTTGTTAAATGAATAATTTGGAAATGAAAAATAGGATACTGTACGTTCCGTTATTAATGCATAGAAATGAAAACAAGGCGTAGTCATGTAAAAGTAAAATTTTTAATTAATTATTTAAATAACAGCGTATGTTATACAGCCTTATTCTCTTTTTGCGTTGTTCTCATACAATGAAAAAGAAAAAATGGAACATATTTTTAATGCCCACTCAAAAATTACTTAATAAAGTATGATTAACTGGGCGTTAGATTGTGACTTTTTTCGGAATTAAGCGTATGTGGTCGTATCACAGCAGATAGTTTTACCACAAATTAATTTCGAAACTTCCTGGATCATTTTGTAGAATTAATTGTCAAGAATAGATAAAAAATATGTTGGCAAATCCGTTTGGTAGTTGTAATGGTAATAATAATAATTTGGCTTCGTTGGACGGTATAACACGGTGCAGCTAATTATAATAGTGTTTGTAGGGTTGGAACGGTGCATCACGGTGGGGGTAGGCGGAAGGCGGTCACCACCGACCTCACGCAGTCTCCTCGCGTTGCCTACGGTACCGCTGTCCGCACACGGGGTCCTCAATCCTCATTGTTATACTCAACCTTCCCTCTATGTACACACGCAGTTCGTAAACCACGCGAGTTCGACAAGAGTGATTAAGTGGTTCAATTTGTGTCTTGTGCGTAACCCCTTAATTTCTGAAAAAGTTACGCTCGTCTACTCCGGATACCTACCACAATACCTATACCTACTCTTCGGGGTCTTTTTTTAAATCAAAGAAAAGGGGAGGTTTATAAATATTAAAAGCGACGAGCCGTGATTATGAATATGAAGTGCGAGCGGGGCGGCGGCGCGTCTCTTCGAAAGCATCGCGGCAAATAAAAAGAACACCTGTAGCATCCTAAACATTTTATTACACACGTATTTCCTAAAGAGCGAAATCTTGTTTTACAAATACCTCCCAATAAGAACTTTTCAAGCATTTTAAGATTACAAAAGACTTAATTTGCGGTGATTGAGTCGTTTTAGTTTCCGTCGTCGGAACTCAATTAATTCCTAATTACAGTCTAACTAATCCAAAATCAAATTGGGAGCGTGTCGTAGGTGGTAAATATTCAAAATGGAGGACACCTGGGAATCTTCGATGATGTTAGGAGTGGGGATGAATGATATGCGAGTAATAGGGGATATTCAACCCTCATGTTCGGGCCAAACAATACCCCGGGAACTTAACCATCAAAGTATGCAACATCATCGGGAGTTACAGCCGAGCGCGGATGTAACCCAGGATATGAACTCTGACATTCACCAAACCATCAACCAAGACATGGGGAGAGACCTTAATCAGGATTTGCACCATCATCATCACGGCGATTATTTCACAAATCAGGTATGAGACTGCAGAAAAAAAAAGGAAATGTTTTACAATGACTATGTTTGTATAGGGTACGCCTGAACTTTCTCTGGGGCTTTTTGATAGCTAATTGCGATGTGATTAATGGATTAGGTATCACTGTAACACGTAACCCAGTAGGACGTTTATTTAACCGTAATTAAAATTGAACGAGTTTGTGAGACTATCCTTAAAAGATTACGAATAGGTTTCGCTAGGAGGCAGCTCGTTAATTAACAATACAGTGCGTTATTTATGTTCGGTCGATTAATGATAACACGATCAAGCCGGAGGATTTAAAAGACGCCGTGATTTTAATGTAAATCGTAATAGCGCACGCAAGGGGATGACGTCGCGACGGTGTACCGACAAAGCTTGGACTTCCCGAAAGCACAAAGCTGCCAGTGTAATTCATAATCTCGGATCGTAATTACGTCTTGAACGAATTTGCGAAAAAATGCACAGGCTTTACACTACACCGTCCACGTATTTAGATTTTACACGCGTGTAGCGTATATGAATACGCATTTCCTGAGCGATTCGTAACGGAACTAGGATCGTTTTCCTCCAAAGTGGCCAAATCGAAACGGAATATTAAGATCGTTTGTTACGCAATAAACGCTCTTTCCGAGATTTGTCAATGCGGCTAAATTTAGGTTTACGTTTATGGAGCACTTTGTGCTGAAACAGTCTGCGGATTCATCTACCCGCTTCTGCAGTTAAATAAATAAAATGAGAAAGAGGAGAAAAATCTCTGCACTTTTAATGTTAAGCTTCTAGTTACCGTTAAAGGACCAAGAAGGAGAAACGCGAATTAAAAGAAAATAGGAGGCACAATGTGAACAACTCTCGTAGAGATAATTAGCCAAAGTTCTAACAAACCTCCCCAATTATTAGTTAGTGCTAACCTTCACGGGGGATGTTTTCCGAGACAAATAACGTTCACTAATTTATAAAGATTAGCAGTTGGATAGATATTAAACACCTATAAATCTGGTGTTTTTGTATAGCATAACATATAACATGATTTAAACAATTTCAAAAATGCGGTCTTAGGCCATCTACACGGAGTTTGTACCCCTAACACTCGGTAAACTGAATGTTTTAACAAGAAACCACAATTTTTCATGCAAAAATAAATTCGTGAAACTTTCACTCTGTGCTACCCACAAATTTGATCAAATGACTCTAAAGTTGAATGATTAATAAGAGCTCAATAAGGTCTAAACTAAAGTAACGAGTGTGCTCCTCAGAATGATCTCCAAACCCCGATCTTACATTTCTCAAAGCTTTGGAAAGTTCCTCCGACATTCGGCGATACCTATACTGAAAAATGGCGTTTCTTATCCCAGTTACATAGTAGATACATTTTTTATGCGACTCTGAAAATGTTACACCTTTCACTTTAGTATGTATCTACCTAGGAAAAAAGTACATACTTTATATACCTACTAGGAAAAAAAGTGGTGCATTCCACCATCGCATTCTGTTCGATTTTTGTACGCCTAGAGAAAAAAGTATATAAAAGTTTTATCACACCTCCAATTCAGAAATCGCATTTGTTTAAAACGTCATTCTCATATACCGTTAGTAATTTATACAGAGTGGCCCAACGAGAAGTACACAGAGGGCTTTTAGGGTATTAAATTTAGAAATTTCGAAAAATCCTTGAACACGTCAATTTTGTATTCAAGGGGGACAACTTTTGGAATACAAATCACGAACCCAAGTCTTCACCCCTCTACGTAGGGAGCTTACCCTCTAAAATTTTAAATGGAATCCTATGGCAAATGGCACATTATTTGAAAGCCAATTTAATTATGATTACTAATCTGCTTTGCTTTTTAAATTCTATTGATTCGTTTCGGAGATAATTCGCATTTGAAATGGTTTTTTCTAAACCAAAACAAATGCGATCTAAGTCACCTTGTATTAAAATTTTATTTTGACGCTTCAATTTGTTTGTTAAACTTAAGTGAACCTGTCAGTTCTCCGAAACGAATCAATAGAATTTAAAAAGCAAAGCAGATTAGTAATCACGATTACATTGGATTTCAAATAATGTGCCATTTGCCATAGTATTCCATTTAAAATTTTAGGGGTTAAGTTCCCTATGTAGAGGGGTGAAGACTTGGGTTCGTGATTTGTATTCCAAAAGTTGTCCCCCTCGAATACAAAATTGACTTGTTGGAGGATTTTTCGAAATTTCTAAATTTAATACCCTAAAAGCCCTCTGTATACTTCTCGTTGGGCCACTCTGTATCTCACTGCCTGAATGTGTAAAGACACTTAGAACTGCAACTTTCAGACATCGCCTTACTAAAACTATTTATGAAAATAAAAAAATAAAATAAAATTTTCTTTTTTTTTTGTTTTTTTTTAATTTTTTATTTATCTTTATATTTTTTTCTTTTTTTTATTAATTAACTTCCTCTCTTCTTCATCTATAAATTATTATTGCCATTTATTGCAAATGGCGCGCCACGAATCAATTAAACAATCAACTAATTCATAGTAAATTAACTAATATAATTTCAATTTTATACTCAGGACGTATTCTTTCTTTCATTAAAAATTATTGTTAAGTATTAGGGTTAAGTGGAAGAGCAGAGTATAAAACTTCCTATTCATAAATCTGAACTTCGCCCTATTGAAGGTGACTCTGACGTTAGTTTCTATTTTCTATTTAATAGTAATGAATTCTGTTTATTAGTATGTACAGTGTTATCCTTCAATAAATGACCATTATTATTATTATTATTATTAAATGTTTTAAAATGATGAGACCTCTGTACAGAAACAGGTTTTAATAGTAATAACTTGCTCACTAAGCGGTTTTGGAAAAAAATGTTAAATTTGACTTGTGTGCCATTGGTTCTTTATCCACTTGAGAAATTAAACTTTTCTCGCTTGGATAAAGAATCTTATGACACACTTGGCAAAGAAATGGCTATAAATACTGCGCGTTTGTAAGCTATTTAAATATCTTAAGAAGCTATTCATAGTATTTTAGCCGTCTTTGTATGTGCATAATATTTCTCCTTCACACTCTGTGCTTTTTAGCTTATTTTTTAGTGCACTTTCATTTTCAAAAAATAAAAAGTGCACTTTTGCGCTCTGTCTGTTTGTCTGTCTGAGTCCAGAACTCCACCACTTGCAGACGTGGTATTGGGGTCATTCGATCAGAAATTAAAAATTATGAAAGGTACATAAGGGCTATTAAAATCGAAAAAACAAATTTGAAAGTGTACCCTTCGCCTCTTGCTCACAAGCGGCGTAACGAATTTTTAAGAATTAAATGAGTCATTTCCCGAGATGCAATTTGCAATCCAATTTGTCTCACATTTTGCATAGGTACGGATGCCTCTAGTAGTGCCAAATAAAATTTTAGAAAATTTGAATTGAAAGTTTTACCTTCCCTATATTCTAATTAAAGATTTCGTCGAAAGGAATTGGTTTATTCAAATTAAAACTTTCCCCCGTGACTGTTTTTAAAGATAATTAAAGGGGGGTGGGGCAGATATTGCCTTTATCTTTCATGGTATTCTAATTGCTGAAGCTCATAATCGCAAGAGAATTCATTGAAGCCCCCCCCTCCCCAGGCATGTCGTACGCCTCATATAGTTTGAGAGCAACTTGCGCTGTCACTCCTATATGGATCGTAACTGTGTACAACGCAATATTTACTATCAGTATAAACGAAAGGAATATTGTTTTCCACCAACTACCGCCCTTACCAAAATTCAAAGTTGGGGAGGGGGAAAACCTTCATAGTACTCTAATGAAAGGTCTCAAAAAAGGGGTTTATTTCTAGCACCCACAGTCCTCCTCCTAGGGCCCTTATCATGGATAGTTTTCACATCTTAACAGCGGAGTGTCGTGCGTTTGAAACTTCTGGACGAAATATATCCATTGGTGATGTTAAAACTTTAAGAGCGAATATCTCAAAAACGGTGTGTCGGAGCGGGTACCCACAAAGGCAAAATGAATCGTCTAGAGCTAGACGAGACATATATCTATTGGCGACGAAAATGAATATCTCGAAAACGAATATCTCGGAAACCGTTTGCAACCGCAGCCTTTGACATTTTGTATCAAATTAAAGGTCTCGGAAAAGGAAAAATGGGGGGGGGGCCAGGAGGGATATTTAAAAATTTAAAAGTTGAGAGGTTTGAAAAAGTGACGTAGTTTCACTTTTTTAAACGGTTTCGTATACCATAAGAAAATTCGATCTTTCCTTAATAAAGTCGTGAAAACTGTTTTGCAATATCTCTTACCGTTTTCGAATAATAAATTTTTCAAATTACCCCTGCAAATTCAATTTTTGACATAAAAACTTGAATATCGACGAAGCCCTTGGAGCAAAGGGTCAACTATCGGGTATGGTCGTACTCCAAATTCGACGTAGAATCCGGAAATGTAGAAAAAATAGGGCGTCCCGATTTAAAATAACAAAGCTGCAAATATTTTAGTTCAATGCATCATGTGCCAAAACCCTTAAGGGACTTATCAGTTTAGTTTCATTTTCAAAGGTTCTCCAATTCTCCATATCTTTCTAACTTACGCCCGTCAAGAATGACCCTGTAGAGGTTGGTCCCAATACGTTAGCAACAAATTTGAAAATTTTGTTTGTGATTAATTTCGATTTTCGAATTAAAGAAAATAAATTATCCCAAATGAACGGAGCAATAAATTCCACAGTGCAGAAATAAATTTAGCACTTTATTATGTGCTACGTTTAACACAATTCGGTGACGAGCGTAGTAAGGTAACGGCCCTTTGTTCAGTTTTGTACAAAAAAATTCAATTCAAACATTATTGCTAATAAATAAATACGCCATTTGCGAACATTACACGATTGCATTAGATTAAATTAAAGATAATTTTCGCGCAGTTCCCAAATCGTAAAAACCTCCGAATTTCAAAAAAGCTTCCTTATTTTCAAAACCATTCAAACATTTCCAATGTTTTCGTGCAACAATTATAAATAACAAGAT